AAGTCCTGCTTCCTGCCGTCGCATGCCACGCTGCTTCTCCTTCTCCTCGACCCACGCAACGTCCTCGATCACGGGTTCGTCAGGGAGGTCCGCGCCGCGCTTCACTACCTGCTCACTCAGGGCCGCCGATCTCACCAAGGTGCGCCCGATGGCCTCGACGTCGATGCTCATCAGGATACGCACTGCATGCGACAGCCCCGCGGGCCATTTCGCATAACAGGGGCACACCACAGACCACCCCTGCAGCCTCTCACGCATGTCCTCCTCCAGTAGTGACCACGCTGCGGCTGCTGGAATCGCTGGCGTCGCCATCCAAGACCACGTCTACTCTGGGGGGGCAGCCGACGAAACGGCGCTGCTCTCATCGCACCTGGCCGCGCGCAGATCCACCCCTGGGGCGCGCGCGAGCGCGAGCGCACCTCCACCTCCGAGTCCGTGGTCACCTCCCGACGCACGTCGCTCCAGAAGTAGCTGGTCGGCACCGCCACGATTAGCTTCCGCAACTTGTAACCGTCCTTCTTCAGTACCGCCGAGACTCCGTTGATCACCTTCGCCTCGCTTCTCTCCTTGAAGGCCCGCAGCCCTGGAGGGATATCCTCCCGGAGTGAACGCTTGATCCACTGCTCCATCTGTCCTCCGAAGAACCCACGCTGCCTCTCGAGCTCCTCCACGTGCTGGGTGGTCTTCCCCTCCAGCTCGACGACGTCATCCTCCTCGCCGTTGCACGACGCCTCATCCTGGGGGAGCGCCTCGAGCAGAGGGACCACCTTTGTCGATGTAACCTCGCCCACTCTGTGAGCGATAAACTCCACGTGGACGCCCGTCTCGTGCACTCTCCTGTAACCGATCTGATCCATCTTCAGAAGCTCACGCGTCGATCCTGCGCCTGTCGCTGGGCGTGGCCGGCGAACGCGGGGCGGGCCCTGGGCGCGCTGCATTGCTCGCCGCTGGACCTGCCCAACAGCAGAATCCCCATCAGCTCGTTGCGAAACTTCTGCTGCAGTAGTGCGGTCTGGCGCTTCATAGATCCAGAGTAGGTCGCATTCAAAGCTCCCAAGATCCGATTGGCCACCTGTCGTACCTCCTGCTTCCGTCTGAGTCGTTGTCGAAGCCGCCCTGAACGAACCCCCGCTCGAGCAGGTCGAGGGAGAAGTGGAACGGGTAGGACGGCTTGGCCACTCTGCAAGGCGGGCGCCACTTCCGAGAGAGCTGGGAACCCATCGTGGGACCGTAAACCTTCCTCATCATTCGGCTTCTCCGCTTTGACTCGCCATCGGTCCTTCGCCAGGTGCCGCCGCTGCCCTCGAGGGGCCCCCGGCGCCCCCCTGCCCCGCGGCCCAGGGCAGGGGGGGGGGGGGGGCAGCCGTCAGGCCGCCTCCCCACCCTTCTTGGGGCCTCTTCCGCGACCACCTCCTTTGTCACCTCGATCTCCCATGGCCGCGGATCTCCGTCGTAGTTCAGCCGATGCACGCTCAGCTCGCTGATGCTCCATCTTGCTGTGAGAGGTCGCCTCCGTGATGAGCCAACCTGGCGCGATGTCCAGCCCGCTGCCAGGGGCCGTGACCGCCCGCAGGCGAGCAGCTCCAACCTTGTCGTGAGCCCTGGACTCGTACACGTACGCCGAGCGTTGGCGCAAGGAGATCTCCACATTGTCATTCGTCGTCAACACCTTCATGAACTCCTGGTCGTTCGAGCCCTGGTCTAGCTCGAAATCTAACGTCGACGCCACTGACCAGAGCCCCTGCCGTTGATCTCCTCTTCGATATCCCTGGAACTGCTGCTGCAACCAATGCCGTACACCGTGTACTAGTGCTCCCTGCCGCCCTGATGTTCCTGTAGATCTCAACTCCAGTTCGCTTGAAGTCGGGCGGCAAGGCGTGGGCCCACGCATCAACCTCGGCACCTCCAGAGGCGGCCGCTGGGCCGCCGAAGCTTCCGTCGAATCTGCTGGACACACCGAGGGTCTCGAAGCCCGCCAGCACCGTCTCCGACATCTTCGGGTCGGGTGGCGAGCGCGCGCCTGGGCCCACATAGCCCCTGGCCACCAGAGCAGCACGGACAGCTGGGTCGAGGCGTCCTGTCTGCTCCATTCCCGCCACCGCCTGCCAGAACTGCTGTCCCCACCAAGGGTTGGAGCTGGCACCCGCGTGCGGCTTCAGGAGCATCCTCTTCAGCTGCGATGCGCAAGCGGCGGCGGTCACTGAAGCCTGCAGCCTAGGCCCCCAAAGGCTGGTGGTGCCCATGCCCGCCGGGGGGCAGCTCACCTGGGGGGCCATGGGCGGCCCTGTGCTGGGCGCAGCTCCAGTCCACGAGACGGGGCCCGCGTCGTGCGCACCGAGCCCGAACGCGTGGAACGCGTCCATGGACGGGTCCGTCACTCCTGCCGGGGCGCCTGGCGCCGTCGCTCATGCCAGCCCGGGCGGCGGGGCTGTAGGAGGGGGAGGGGCGGCAGCGAGGGGGCCGCGGCCACCTCGGCGTGCTCCGTCGCGCCGCCGCTCGCCTCCCCCTCCAGGCGCAACTGCTCCAGCTGGGCCGTCAGCGTCTCGACATCATCCCTGCTGCCGCGCAGGGAGCTCCACCATTCTCGAACGCCACGGACGAGGCTCCACAGCAGCGCGACGATGATAGTGCACACGCCGAGCCCCAATCGTACGACGCTGCCTCGTCCCGTCTCCGCGTGAAAGGACAGCCCTGCACACAGGCAGCCAGCGAGGCCGAGCGCACGTGGACCCAGCCAGCGAATGAGGCCAAGCAAGACTCCCGACTCGGAGCCATCTGCATCGTCTGGATCCGAGCGCGGAGGAGGGGCCATCAGCGGGTCTCGGGCATCTGCTACCTTCCCTGGATGCTCACCGCGCGATGGCCCCTCAGGCCGTCATCGCTCCGTTGGCCCAGAATTGCTATGAGACATGAGATGCTGCATGAGCTGATAGATCAGGCACTACACATTAATACCATTCGCAAGCTCTCACTCAATCACACACGTATATATATATTATAGATATTATAGATATGCGGCAAGGGAATGGAACGAATTTTGCCTCTTGGGGCCCTCCTGGGGGGGGCGTCGCAGGAGGCGTCTGGGAGGCCTCTTGGGGCCTTTCGGGAGCCATCTTGTGCGTCTCGGAGCGGCCTGTGCGTCTTGGAGCGGCCTGTGGGCGTCGCGGGTCCCTCTTTGCGCGTCTTCGGGCTCCACTGGCGCTTTCTCATGGCGTTTTGTGGGCCTCTGGGGCCCCCCAAGCGCCTGCACACCCTCATCTGTGGTAGAGGTCGTGGCCCCCAGGCCCCAGGCCCCGGCCCTGGAACCGTTGCTGCGGCCTCCCTGCAGCCTCTGGGGGCCTCTGAAGGCCTCGGGTCGCCGAAACCATGTAAAAACACAAAGGCAATGACCCTGTGCATACCCATTTGTGGTAGAGGCCGCGGCCCCGGGGGCCCTGGCCCCAGTGCGCCGTTACATGTTTTTCATCAACAGCTCCATTTGGGAAAGGGGCCGTCCCTAATTCATCCGTAATACTCCTGCACAGCTTTAAGATTGATGTGCGTGGCGCTACGGCTAGAGCCTCATGTTGAAAAAGAACTGCCCTCAATCTGTGAGACGCTGCAAACTATTAAAACGAATGTGCGCGGCGCTAAAGCGAGAGCTCCACGGTGAAAGGCACCCCTCCACCTAGGTAGCTGCTGAAATCTTTTAGGGCGAATGCGTGCGGAGCTAAGAGATAGCTCCATCCTCATAACGGCAGCAAGCTTTTAGGACGAATATTCGCGGCGCTACGGCGAGAGCTTCATTCTGAAAACGACCCCCTCCACCCATGCAACTGTTAAACCCTTTTGAAACGACTGATCGTGGTGCTACAGAAGGCGATAACTACATTTTGAAAGCGACCCCATCCATCCATATAACTAGGCAGCTGCGTTCCACTCTAAGCTTCAAGGCCACAATCCTACCAGCCCTCGTGGGTGTAGGTGGTTTCACGAGGTCTGCCTTTTCTCCCCCTCCTTCCCCCCGCTCGCGGGAAGGGCTTGCCCCTCCCCCTGCGCCCTCCCCAGGGCCTGGGAGGAGCGGGGGGGCGGGCAGCCATAGAGTTTCGGGATGGGCCCAAGAGGGCTCCAAGAGGGCCCCCCGGCGGCCGAAGACTGCCTCAGGATGGCTCCAGGATGGCCCAAGGGAGCCCCGAGAGGGGCTCAAGAGCGCGCCCAAAAAGACGGACCCATTGGCACCCAAGAAACGCCCTAGAGCGGACCCGGAGGGCCCCACGACGCAAGGTTTGAGTCTCTGAGGGGGGCCTGAATTGACACCCGCCTCTCTTTCGAGCCATGAGGGCCCAGAGGCCTCCCAGGCCCCTCCAATGAGCCCCAAGAGGGCCCCAAGACCCCCAACACGAGCCCCCAAAGGGCCCCAAGAGCCCAGGAGTGGTCCAAGAGGCCCCACGGGAACCCAAAGAGAGCCCTTGAGATGGCCCCTAAGATGGCCTCAATCGTCCTTCAAGAGCCTCTCACAACCACACATCTCCAAAGCCCGATTTCTCATCCTCCTTGTCATCGTCGGTTCAGTCCCTCCTCCTTTCCTGCCTCCCCCCTTCTCCTCCTCCTCCTCCTTCTCCTTCTCCTCCTCCTAATCCGCATCCTCCTCCTCCTCCTCAACCTCAATATCTTCCTCGTGCCGCATGACTCGTCCTCTTCCTCCTCCTCCTCCTCCTTCTCTTCCTCCTCCTCTTCCTCCTCCTTCTCCTCCTCGTCCTCTTCCTCTTCCTCCTCCTCCTCCTTCTCCTCCTCCTCTTTCTCCAAAAAGACCCAGGGGGCACACGGTTTCCTCCTCTTTCTCTCTACCTCCTCCCTCCTCCTCCTGCCTTGCTCCCGCATCCCTCCCCCCTCCTCGCTCATCGCTCCTGGCTCCACCTCCTCCTTCTTTCTTTCCCCCTTCGCGCTCCTCCTCCTCCTCCTCGTCACCATCCTCAGCCCAAATCTCTGACCGCACTGAATATTGGACTCTCCTGGCCCACCGCGTGGCGGAGCCGGAGCAGATCGCCGCGGGCGGCGGCAAAGACGCCCACATCAGCGCGCGCCTCGGGGGGCCAGGGAGCAGGGGAAGGGGAGCAGGGGGAGCAGGGGGAGCATGAAGAGGGGGGAGGGAAGGAGGAGAGAAGGAGGGAGGGAGGGCAGGGAAGGGTTAGGGAGGGAGGGAGGAGGAGAGAAGGAACAGCGCTTCAGGTCAAGCTGGCGTGTAGCATGGGGCCTGCCTGTGGGCATGACGCCTCCCATGCTGCTTGAGAAAGCGTGAGCTCCATCTCCGCTCCGGCACCATCTAATTACCAAAGTCTACCCCAAAACGGCTGGAAACAAAACCAAACATTCTGCTGTTTCGTGAAGTCTTTTGGGCCGCAACACAATGGAAGAAAACCATCGCAACGCTCAGCCGTGTGAAACAACATGCTGCCAAAACATGGTGTGCAATGTTCTGCCTGTTTCTACCTTGAAGAAGCAGGCGGTATGAAAACATCGTGAAGAACCTTAGCTTCCGCTGGGAGAGGGTCAGGGTGCTCACTGTCGAAAACACGTGTCCAGTTCTGCTTAACCGTGTGGTGGTTTTAAAGGCGGCCCTGTGCGGCGGCGGCGGAGGTTAGCTGATCGCCGCCCCTTCGCAAATCGCACCGCACACGCACCAAATGAGTACGATGGAGTCCTCACCATGACAGCCTGTGCACAACTTGTGCTCTTGGGGGCCCGCGGCAATGCACTGGAAACTGCGTGAACTCCACGACAGGCTGCCTGCTGATGCGGGACCTGGCGCATGCACCTGGCACAACACTAGCGGCACGCGCAGACAGCGGAGAGGGACGAGGTGGGGCAGAGGGGAGAAGAGGAGCAGGGGGAGGCAGTGGGAGGGAGGGAGGATGGGCAGGGGGAGGGAGAGAAAAGGGGAAGAGGATGAGGGGCAAGCGGGAGAAGGGAATCGCAAATGTCAGGAGGGGCAGGGGGAGTGAGGCAGACGAGCAGGGGGAAGGGGGAGCAAAGGGAAAGGAGGGAGAGAGGAGGACTCGTCTGGATGCGTCGGACTGCCTGCTTGTCCCTCTTCTTTTCCTCCTCCTCCTCCTCCTTCTCCTCCTCCTCCTACTCCTCCTCCTCCTTCTCCTCCTCCTCCTTCTCATGAAGAGCTGAAGCATGAAATTCGCTCCGAGTGCTGCCCCCCACCCCCCCCCGGGCCAGTCGGCCCTGGGGGGGTGATCCAAATGGTGCCAAGGGACCACTGGACGGAACTCCGCTCCAGGGATCGCAGGCAGCTGGGGTCGACCGAAAAAGCGGGGGCAGATCGGCACGCAGACAAGCGTAAGGAGAGGAAGAGGAGGGGGGAGACCAGGTAGGCCGCACGCAATGAGAACCTCGAGGAGGAGGGCGAGGGGCAGATGTGGCAGCAGCGGCGGGCATTGTGGCAAGACCACTCCGCGGGGCCATGGTGGGTGCCGCCTGCTTGGGGTGGGAGGCTCAAGGGCCCCAGGCATTCCCCCAGGTCAGCGACGGGATCCCTCGCCTGCAAGCAGGCGTCCCAGTACGTTGATCTTGGGGCCGCCTGGGGAACATCCATCAAGCTCAAGGGAGGTGTGAGCCTTCTGTGGGTGAGGTTGCGCACTAATGAGCGGTGCCACGCTCGCCAAGTGGGAGGGCACAAAGGCCTTTCCCCCTGCCCATAGGACCCCCCCACCCGTCCATCAGCCCCGCGACTGGTACCCTCACCTGCCAGGCAGGTGCAGGCTACCCAGACCGCGAAGCTGGTGGCCGCGTAGGGGAGGTTCCACTGGGCGCGGGGGAGGTTTGTGCACTCAGTGACGGTCCTCCTCCTCCTCCTTCTCCTCCTCCTCCTCCTGCTCCTCCCTCCTCCTCCCTCCTCCTCCTCCTCCTCCTCCTTCTCCTCCTCCTCCTCCTCCTCCTCGTCCTCTTCCTTCATTCCTTTTCCTTATAAGCAACTCCCCCCTGGCGCACCCCGAAGCCGGTCGCAAGTGCGGGCCAAGCGTTTCACCTGAGACTTCCTCACAACTTGTGATCATGACGCTTGACATGTGCAAGAGCTTAACGGATGGAGAGCACCGGCTTCAAAATGCGACTCTCGCCTTAGCGCCGCGCGCTTTCGTCTGAAACGGTTCCAAGAGCTTCACTGGTTGAGGGCGAGTCCCTGTTTAAATGTGGCTTTCGCCTCAGCACCGCGCACGTTCGTCTGAAACCCTTGCGAAAGCTTCACGGATGGAAGGCGGTTACTTTTCAAAATGTGTCTCTCGCCTTCGCACCGCGCACATTCGTCTGAAACGTCTGCAAAGACTTTCACAGATGGAGGGTGGTTCCTTTTAAACATGTGGCTATCGCCTTAGCACCGCGAACAGTTTCAGGGAGTATCATGGTCAACGTCCCCGAAATGGTGTTTTGGCATGATGTCGGAATGTTAGGGCCCGACAGTCACGTTGATTCGCGGTGTTGAGGTCCGAGGAATGGTGTTCAGGGACGGTTCAGGATCGGCAAGACGCAACGGTATCATTGATTCGCAGCGTTGGTCTTAAGACCAATGCTCTGGCACAAATCCAAATGTTCAAACGGTTGTCTTCCAACAGGGCATTTCCCTCAGTGGAAATGAATCCGTGTAGGGGCCTATGATGAGGGAACTAGCAGGGAGGGTTTTGTTCCAATGTCGCTGATGAATATTCGCTTTGCACTGGACCTCCCCCTCCTCCTCCGCCTCCTCCTCCTCCTCCTTTTCTGCCTCCCTGATCCCGCCCGCGATTCGCGGACAGGTCCTGGGGCGCGAGCTTCATGGTGTGGGGCAGTTCGTTGTCTGCGATAAGTGCGGTGTGTTTTCGAGCGAGCGGGGATGCAAACTTGTACAGCTGTGCGGTACGGCCCCTGCCAACTCCACGGCCGAGTGTCGCCGCTCAGTCCTGCGCCGATGCAGGTATCCTTACAACCTGAAGCTCCCCTTTTGCGAGGCGCGCCGCTCCCTCTTACAGTGGGTCTGCGACGCCTACTGGGAGATGCTTCTGGACTGCGCTGCGAGCGGGTGCGAGGCACCTCTTCAGTGTGCCCGCCCGCTCATATCATTCATATGTGGCTGGCTGAGGCAAGAAGTGCCAGGTTAGCTCTATCAGCAAAAACTCCCTCCCTCCTCCCCTCCCTCTATCCGACCCCCCCCCCCAGAACACTGGCCGGATCCTGCTCCAGGGCCAGTCGGACATGGCTCTCCGTGGGGAGGGGAGCGCCCAAGCCGCCGGGGTGTCCCAGAGAGGACTGCGCCCAGGCCGCCGGGGCGTCCCGAGGAGGATTGCGCCGAGGATCTCCCGCAGCTCCCGACGTCCGAAGTCCAGGCAGCGCCAAGGAGGCCCACCACTACAGTAAACACATACGGCAAAACAGTTTGCTGTAAGAACACTATGAGCAAAGTCTTCGTCGATCGTTGAGGGTCCTCAGGCGCCGTAGAACTTCTGAGGAGCCCTGTGACCATCGGGGGATCAGAAACTTCCGTAGGGCACCTGCTGGCAAATTGGTTTCTTGTGTGATGCTCTTACTGTAGGGGGGTCGCCTCCTCCTCCTCCTGCAGGAAAAACCCTCTGGACCACCCAAAACCTCAAAGACGCCCAAGAAAACCCGCACGTGCTGCCAGAACGGGTGAATGGGGGCTTGAGGAAGTCTCCCTCCTTCCCCTCCTCCTTTGAGGAGGAGAGGAAGAAGGAGGAGGAGGAGGAGGAAGAGGAGGAGGAGGAGGGGGATGGAGGGTGGGGGGACGGGCAAGCTGGTCGATCACCCCTCCCTTGGTAACACCCCTCCCTTGGTAAATACGCCTTGGTGTGTGTGTGTGTGCTTCAAGATTGGCATTGTGTTGTTGTTCCTTCTCGATTACGCAGCCTGTGGGCGCTGTATCCGGGCCCCGCGGCCATCAGATCCGGATGCGGGGCGGAAAACGGAGCCCAGGGGACGGGTCGGGACCTCTGGGGCCGCGCGTGGAGAAAATCAAATTGTCGAATGTCTGGGGTTCATTCGCCAGCGTGGCAGTGCCAGCCGCGGCGTCTCTCATTGGGACCACGGGACGGGCCGACATAGAAAAGCGGGCAAGGCAGGGGACAGAAACGGGCAGGAGAGCGAGAAGCCGAGGAGCGAGAAAGGGAGAGGGAGAGGGACGGAGGACAACATAACACGACAGACCAGGCCGACAGACGGAAGGACGGGGAGAGAGATTCTCTCTCGGCGTTTGAAGGGCCGTGTCTCGGCCCCAGGGCCGTCAAAGCACCTACTGCAGGTTCGTGCAATGACGAACTGGGCTTCGATTCAACTATGACACCGCGTGGATCGTTCAACCCTGAACGATCGCGATTTCCCAAAAGAGCGGATCCTTCGATACCGGCCGATTCTGGGCCGCCAGCGGGGTTCGACCCTGAGCGCCCGCGCTGGGGTTGCCGATGCGTCGGCACGGCATAATCCCACCGTATACAAGAATCAGAAGCCAAGGAATGGTTGAGAGTTCCTAGAGCTCACGTTGAGACGACAACAGGCCGTCCGAAGCCTGGGGCCAACTGTTGATCCTCGCCCTCCTTGTCATCCCTCATCTCTGATCCGTTGACTGTTCCTTCTCCCCCTCGTCCATCACTCCTCCCTCTTCGCCCACGCCCTCTTCAACTTCTCCCTCCTCTTGCCCCTGTTCATCCTATTTCACTCTCTCCCTCTTCTCCTCCCTTCCTCCTTCCTTCCTTCCCTCCTTCCTTCCTTCCTTCCGCGCAGCTTGAAGCCAGGTCTGCCTAGCCGAGTGCATGTGTTCAAATGTTGGAGACGCGTGCCTGTGCAGAAAACCTCGCGCGCGAGTCGAATGCCATCAACTCTGCGTCAGCCATGCGGTCGCTGAGCAGGCAGATCTTCTCCGCCCTCCGTCGCAGTGGATATCCATGTTCGCGTCCTCCAGCTTGATAAACAGATCCAGTGGTTCAACATGTTGCCAAGGCTTCTGCACGTCCATGGTTGCGTTGACCAGCTGATCGGCGCGCTGGCTCAACTCACGTTTCGTCAAGATCCAGGGGACCATCTACACCTGGTGCGGGTAGCACCCCTGTGCCAGTAGCTGAGCAGCTCGATCAGACACCCAATGCAGTGCTGGCACATGGCGTCAGGCACTCGAAAGGGGCAAGTGTACCCAATCAGAATCTCGACCACAGGTTTTCAATCGCATACAAATGCGAAAAGTCCAACATCACGGTCCCATTGGAAGTCCTCGTACGGCAGGTTCTTGTCGTGCCGACCTCGGCCTTTGTTTCTGACACCGCGGGGATCGTTCAACCTTGAATGATCGGCCGTTCCTCAAACGCCAGGTCGATCAACGTCCACCGATTCTGGGTCGCCGGCGGTACTCAACGTGGAACGCTGGTGGCGGGGTCGCCGCTGGTCAACACGAGGCGAACCTACCGTACGCGAAATTAGACATGGCATGTACATTGAGAAGGTCGTCTAGAAGATACCGTTTCGCTCGGAGGCGTTTGGCTGCTGGTGGAGCCGGCTCTGGATCGATCGCCGAAGCCTTGCCGATGTTGGGGAGATCCCACGCGACGCAGACAGAGTTACTTAACAAAGGGAACTCATGCATCCAATCTTGCAGGGCCATCGATTGGTTCCGCTTGAACCTCCGCATTGGGCCCAAGAACAAGCAAAACACATAGTCCCATAAGGCAAAATTGCCAGGACCTGCATGGACCAAATTGAAACCGCGACGCTTATAATGGTGCTCATGCCATGCGTGCCGAACCCCAACCACATCCAGTTTCTGAAGACGGGGGACTCGCGCAAGAACCGTTCGCCCCCACGCGGCGGCATCGACTTTTCACGCTAAAGGCTACTGTAGACTGCAGTCAGCACTCTGATGTACAATGCCTTGTTGCTATACCGTGCAAGCCAAGAGGTAATCTTTGCAGACGCTCCTGCGCTGTAAGAGAACTGCTTTTCATCTGGTTTCCGCTTCAATCTGAGGACGCGCCTGAGAAACTGCCACTCCCACGAACGGAGACGGCGGAGCAGGCCTGACATCAGGTGCCACGCGCACGAACCAATCCTTGCACAAACAAGCGGCCCTGTCGATTGAGCCCGTAATTTGCTAGCGACGCAGCCCGCTTCTCTGACCACGCGGAAGTCCGTCCAGAAAATGGCCTCCGCCTTGCAAAGCTGGCACTCTACAGGAACTTCCGTCAGCCTGAGCACTCAAGCAAGCTCCCAAAGATAACAAGACGGTCTGCTACTGCGGAAGGTAAGAGATGAGAGCGTTGAGACGGGTGAACTTGAAAAAGTGTCGCGTCGATGCCTGCATCAACTGAAGACCAGGACAGCATGAATTCCAAGGGCGAAGGCTTCCAAATGAGCTGGGTACTCGAGATTGCCTCTGCTAGGTCCTGGATCATATCTCTCCTCGGGGGTCTTCGAGAGAATACTTCTCGCCCCATGCCAGATGCGAAAGCCTGCAACGGCCCTCAACGTCGTCAAAATGAACACCGAATTGTTTGGAACGCCACTTTGAGAGAACAAGGGAAAAGCTCCAAGACGTGCTCCACCATCGTGCTGAAACAGTCGGGCCTCCCATTGGCCTGCAGTGGAAACCGATCACACTGAGGCGTGCCGGTGAGGGAAATTGAGCACCGCATGAGAGACGTCTCCCGCATGATGGCCTGCACCAGGCCTGGTGCACGCCGCGGGACCTGAGGATTGAGGCCAAAAGGTGTGGGAGATTGTCGAACGCAACATCGATACCCAGAGCGGCAATGGTCAAAGGTAAGAGTCGGCATGTTGGGGTAGAGAGCACGTCGTCACAAGAGAAAACTGTGGGATCCAAACGTGCCCACCGGAGAAACCATCAAGGGTGAAGTCATCAGAGGCTGTAAGCTACGCGTGTACCACTTCGCAGAAGAGTCAAGCTTGCAGGCGAAGCTAGAATGCCCGAACTCCGACTGCCTGGTGCACTCTGGGATGCCAGACGAGTCCAGAAATTTCCAAGTCGGTCGGTCCTCGGGGTCGTTGTCCAAATGTAGATTTCCGAACAAACGTCAGATGCGGAAGACAAGCTGATACGGAAAGGCCTTGTAAAGCTCCGGGAGGGGGCCATTATCTTCTCGGGAGCGGCCAAGAGGGGGGTGTCCAAGAAGGGGGGGTGCAAATCATGACCGGCGGCATGTGCGCGGCCCAGCGGGGGGGCCAGGGCCGTAATGGAATAAGAAAAGGCGCCATGAAATCTGGGGAAATATCATGCCCCCCGCCATGATATCCCCCCCCTAGTCATCACCCCCCTCTTTGCCGCCCCCGATCTTCATCCCAGCGCAGCTGGAAAGAACGTAGAGGAACTGGAGGGAGGGTGTCCTTAGTCCGTCCAGTCTGTGGCCAAGACCCTCCGTATGAAGACGATGAACGGACGTGGCAAGCTCAAGTAAACTGGATTCGAAATTCCCCAGAGGACTCGTCAACAGCTGCAGGGAGGGTTTGCGGTACAAGTCAAACTCTTGCGTGGAGCTGGGAGCCCAGCCAGTGAGAGTTGGTACCCGTGGCTTGTCTGGTGCCAGATATTCTGGAACAGTGTACTGATGACGGAGCGGTGACCGGACCTCGTGAACAACTTCCCATTGAATTTGTGCACCCAGGCCCACCCAGACATCAGTGAGGAGGAGCGCAGAGAATCGACCTGCGATCGAGTATGCCGGCTTGTCTTGGAGCCGCATTCCAAAGTGGCAGGTCACGGGGCTGTGGCCAGGGCGTCCGCGGGAGCCTCGATGGTGCTGTCCGCCGGTGCGCCCAATGCAGAAAGCCAGGATGCTGTGACCCTCACGCATCTCATGGGGTGCCTTCTCCCTGCGTTTGCTTGTCATCATCATCCTTCTCCTCTCCCTCCCCTTTCCCCCTGCTCCTACGTTTTCCCCTTCTCCCTCCTCCCCCTCATCCTCACGTGGTTTGCCATCCTCTCTGTTCTCCTCCTGCCCCTCGTCGCTTCCCCCTCCTCTCTCCTGATGATCCGCTTCCTCCTCACTCCTCACACCTTCCACATCCCCTTTCTCCGGAACAACATGTTGGCCACGTTTTGCTTTGGCCCATGCAGGTCCAGAATTGATCCTTGGGGTGGTCGGGCCTCCTGGAATCAGGCAGGGGTTCCACAACTAATAGAAGCCAACACAAGGGAAACCATACCATCTTGTACGGATTTCATTGACGAGATCTCCTCGCATTGACCAATTACCAACGCAGCTCTGGTAATTTCATCGACCCCGTGAGCTAGAGCAATCTCCAATTGCGCAGACCCAGTGGGTAAACAAACATAAAAACAAATCAGCAGCTCCGCTAGCACGCTAGCACTTGAGAGCCCAGGACAGACCCAATCAGATTCGGTCCGTCCTATAAACCTTCCAAAGAACAGTGTCCGTGCGCACGGAAAACAAGGAGTAGGGGCTGCTTTCGGTCTGGGACGTTGCACGCTCAGTGGATGCACCGAGGCCGCGTGCCACCTCACGGGCCCAACCAGTTCGACAAGATACCAAACGCAACATACGCGCACATGTAGAAATGCACCCTCCACCTAAGACCCTTCTCTCTCTGGATCCTGATCCTTGCACGGCAAGTTCGTGTCGTGCCGACCCGGGCGTTGGTTGCTGACACCGCGGGGATCGTTCAACCTTGAACGATCGGCCATTTCCGAAACGTCAGATCGTTCAACATCGACCAATTCTGGGTCGCCCGCGGCGTGCAATGTTGAACGCTGGGGGGCTGAGGCACCGCTGTCAACACGACGCGAACCTACCGCACTCATCTTAGGGGGGCGGCCTCCGCCACGCGCTCGGCCTCCGCCACGCGCTCGGCCTCCGCCACGCGCTCGGCCTCCGCCACGCGCTCGGCCTCCGCCACGCGCTCGGCCTCCGCCACGCGCTCGGCCTCCGCCACGCGCTCGGCCTCCGCCTTGCGCTCGGCCTCCGCCACGCGCTCGGCCTCCGCCACGCGCTCGGCCTCCGCCACGCGCTCGGCCTCCGCCTTGCGCTGGGCAAGCCTCAGCGAGGCTCGGTGGAAGCCCCCCCTCCTCCTGTTCATCCTGGCGCTGCCTCTTCTCCTCCTCCTCCTCATCCTCCTCCTCGTCCTCCTTCTCACCTTGATCATGCTGACGCTATCCGACATCGCTGATATAAATAGTATTACCCCTCCTCCTCCTTCTCATCCTCTTCCTCCTCATGACTTGTCGTTCTAATCCTCATCCTCTTACGTGCTTATTCCTTTTCACCCTCCACGCTCACTGTGACCGGGCTCCTCCTGCTCCTCGTACTCCTCCTCATCCGCCTGTTCCTGCTCCTCCTCCTCCTGGCCACCTGCTCCTGCTCCTGCTCCTGCTCCTCCTCCTCCTCCTCCTCGTCCTCCTCGTTCTCCTCCTCCTCCTCCTCCTCCTCCTCCTCCTCCTCCTCCTCCTCCTCCTCCTCCTCCTCCTCCTCCTCCTCCTCCTCCTCCCTCCTCCTCCTCCTCCTCCTCCTCCTCCTCCTCCTCCTCCTCTTGTCCCACCCGAACCTTGCCTCTGTCATCCTCCTGCTCCTGCTCCTCCTCCTGGCCACCTGCTCCTGCTCCTGCTCCTGCTCCTGCTCCTCCTCCTCCTCCTCCTCCTCCTCCTCCTCCTCCTCCTCCTCCTCCTCCTCCTCCTCCTCTTGTCCCACCCGAACCTTGCCTCTGGTCTCAAGACACCCCAGGCAAGAGCCAACCCTGGTCAAGAGCAGGATTGCGGGTCGCCACGTTGCTGCAGCGACAGCACAGCGGGCTCCCCCTGGTCGCTCGCTGTGCTTGAATCTCGCTGACGCGAGATCCTCCCCCAAACAACATGGGGCAGAACGGATTGCGTCAAAGTGCACCCGCAGCCTCCTCAAAGCGATCCAGCGATGCCCCTGTGTGCCCAGAAGCACATGTGGTTTTGACTTCTGCCTGACGCCCACCTTAAAGAAACGGAATGCAGACGATTGAGACAACGCAGACAACAGTTGATAAACTATCCCTGCCTCCGCCCAGCAGGCTGGGGCCTGCGCCGTCGCCACCCGGGGTTGCGCTCCCCGACGTCCCTGCTCGGGTGTCGCTGGAAGCGCCCCCAACCCGAGGTGACCCCAGGCCTTCCAGGGGGGGCGGCCCCACTGTGGCCTCCATAATGCGCCCCACGCGGGGCCCAGTCCACCCCCCCCTGGAGCGATCAAGAGCTGGCGGGGAGCTGGGGGCACCTCAGACTGGGGGCTCTCCCCTGCCATTGCCGCAAGGCCATACATGGTCACGAGGGAACTGAATCCCCGACATTTGCCCCTGCGCGCTTCTTAACAGGCGGAGACTTTGGCCGTTGCAAGAAGGTGCCGCTTTCCTGCCACCTTCCTGCACCGTCTCGCACACAAGTGGTGCTTTCCCGCCAATTTCCTGCCACCGTCTTGCAAGCTGTCAAAGTGTGCCCGTCACTGGGCAATCCACACTTCATACAGATCAGAAAGAAAGGGGCCACAACCCTCCCAGACGGTCGCAACTAAAGAGCGGCGTCTTGCCCAGAGCCCCAGGAACCCTCCAAGACAAGTCAAACCTGATCCCCCGAAAATCAGACCAAAATCTACCATACCCGTCCCAATGGCGCTGATAATTACCCGGCGGCCTCCACTGAACGGGCTTACCATCCTAAAGGTTCTGATGCAGCCCTGGGGCCCGCGAAATGCCCAGGGAGGCCGAGAGTATCGAGACACACCCGAGAAACGTTTCCCTCAGGACAACACTCCCCACGCTGGAGGATTTGACCGTGTTCACAGACTTGGGTACGTGGTCCCGAGGATATCGCGGAGCGTTGGTAAAGGAAGAAAAACGGCACGAACAGGAGGAGGAGGAGGAGGAGGAGGAACTCAACGCAGATTTCTTGCATCCGCACTGGGCCCGCCAAGGGGCGGCGCTGAGGCCCTCCTGGCGGCACGGAGCGCGCCAGGGGCGACGCCGAGCCCCCCCTGGCGGCGCCTCCGGCGCTCTCCCTGGCACGCTCTGGGGCCCAGCGCCTGATTAGAGGCCTTCCAGATGGGATCCGACTAGATGGGGTCAGAGAGCCGCGCTCCATCGCCAATGCATCGGCGATGCATCGCCGGTGCATTCGCGATGTATCGGCGACGTCGGCATGGAGAGAATCAGGCTCCACATCGAGCCGCATCGGCGATGCATCGCCGATGCGTCGCGATCCTCCGACCCCATCTAGGAGGCCCAGACCAATACAAGAGAAAGCCGAGCGGAGTATTGAAACTTGATGATTGCAGTCGGGATCTGTTGGACAGCGTGTCGCGGCGGCGGCCTCTGCGACACGCCATGCCTTGCGAGTGGACAGCGCGCCGCTCCGCTCCGCAGTGCGGGAGGCTCGGACAGGAAGGGGACGTTGACGCTTGAGGCTGGGGAGTGAACAGCGTGTCGCGCCGAAGCGTTGTGGGCCAGAACAGGCGGAGTGACACGCTATCCGAAATCTTCTGACCGTAGCTTCCCGCCCCTAGGGGCGGCAATCCACATCCGACGCGCCGCGAGGTCCTTGGGGGCACATCTCCAGATCGGCGGGTGCGAGGGAATCCCCCGCGCGGACTTCTCATAGCGACGGCCAACACTTGGCTTGAAGAAGACAGCAAACAGCAGAAACGGCGCCCTTAAACCTCTGGACCCCTGGGGGTTTTCCCCAAAGCCAACTTTCCAATTATCATAGTCGTCATAATCGTCATCATCGACATCGTCTTCATACACGTTGTCATCATTGAGCGCGATCATCATCACCATCACCATCACCATCACCATCACCATCACCATCATCATCATCATCATCATCATCATCATCATCATCATCATCATCATCATGATCATCATCATCATCATAATCATCATCATCATCATCATCATCATCATCATCATCATCATCATCATCATCATCATCATCATCATCATCATTATCATCACCAGCATCAAGATCACCATCATCATCAACAGCATCATCCTCATCCTCATCATCATAATCATCCTCATCCTCATCCTCATCCTCATCATCGTCACCACTATCATCATCAGCATCATCATCAGCAGCATCATTCCCATCATCGTCATCAGCATCCTCATCCTCACCATCGTCCACATCTTCATGCTCATCATCACCATCAGCATAACGTCATCACCATCACCACCATCATCAGCAGCATCATCACCATCATCATCATCAGCACCATCGTCAGCATCATCGTCATTATCGTCATCATCGTCATCACAATCATCGTCACCAACATGTTCATCATCATCATCATAATCGTCATCACGATAAACGTCACAATCATCGACATCACCATCACCACCACTACCACCACCATCAACATCATCAACACCACCAGCATCACCATCATCCTCATCAAAACCATCACCATTATCCCCATCACCATCATCATCATGACCACCACCATCATCATAAACATCATCACAGGCATCAGCATCATCCTCATCATCCTCATCATCACCATCACCATCAGTCCCATCACCATCAGCATCATCACCATCATGACCATCACCATCATAATCATCATGCCAGGCATCAGCATCATCATCAGCATCAGCATCATCACCATCACCATCACCAGCATCAGCAGCTTCATCACCACCACCACCATCATCGTCAACAGCATCGTCGTCGTCGGCGTCGGCGTCTGCGTCGGAGTCGTGGTCGTCGCCGTCGTCGCCGTCGTTGTCGACGTCGTCGTTGTCGTCGTCGTCGTCGCCGTCGTCGTCGCCGTCGTCGACGACGTCGTCGTCATCGCCATCGCCACCGTCACAATCACCCCTCTCTATTCTCCTCGTCCTCCCCCTCCTCCGTCTCCTCCTCCTCCTCCTCCTCCTTCTCTTCCTCCTCCTCCCCCCCGGGTCCTGGACCCCTCGCTGCATTCCCCATAACAAATTGTCCATCC